GAAGCTTGATGGGCTGATTATTCACTCAATGATCATATTAGTCTTTTTTTGCTGCAACATCATTCTGGGATTTTGCCCACTACATTTCTAAATTCAAGGTATGGTTCCCCAGATTTAGCTGCATTCTTTGTTCCCTGTGTAACTTTGCATTGAGCTCTAACAAGGCAAATTATTTTGAATTAGGTTCAGCTTATTAACCGTATCGGCTGTTCCTTTATCACTGTGCGCTGCAAATTTTACCAGCAAATTATTTTTTTTAGAATGCATTGGTTCATGTGTTTGATTATATGAATCCTAATATTGCTTCTTGTGAGGTGACATTAGTGCTGTCTCCATTCAGTTATGATTCCTTACAGACAGCTACTTTTGCGATATGTTAGCCTGGCTTTGAACTAATACTGATGCTGAGAAACTATTAGGTGAAGGCAGTGCAGAGTATCTCCCAAAATATAATCAGATTAGAACTGTGCAATAATCTTTGTTATAAATCTTTTATTCTCATCTGAGAATGAAATTAGGTCTGTAAATATTTGTATTTATGTTCCTGTTTAGATTAGAACAAGTACTATAGAGAATCCTTTCATTTGTGATTAATTGAATCCCCTTTTCCTCTTATTTTTCTTGCTGCTCATCAGGCAACTTTTTACAGACTTTTGCTTGAAAATTATTTAGCATGGCAGCATTCAAACTGTGGTTAGGTATTAGCATTTGATTTAGTCACTGATAAACCCTCTGCTCTTTGTCCCAGTGGTCAGCCCTTGGGGTCAGTCCCAAGGGACTGCAGATTTTACAGGCCCAGCACCAGATTGCCTAGAAGCAGGGAAAAGTGAAGAGTGACACAGGTACTTTTTGCTGTTATAGGGGCCTTAGAGCGGCCAAGGCAACAGTGTGGGGCCAGCAAGTTCAATGCAGCATTTATGGGATACCACTTCACTTCTGGATCAGCAGCTGAAGTCAGGCAGGGTAGTGAGAGCACCTAAAATGACACAAGTTAGAGATACTGGTGTCACTCCTCTACACTCCCATTCCTCCTCGGGCTGAGACTGACACCTGCGTTGCCTGTGTGGTCCCAGCTGGTCTCAGAAATGGACGCAAACTCTGTCATCAAGGTCCCTGGCAGACAATGTGCAGTACTTCCATTCAGCACTTTTTATTGTTAATCTTACTATTTGAGTTACTGCATGCTGAATGCTTTTCAAATACTGTCCCTTCCCTTACATTATATTATCCAGGTCACAGAAGCGTGGATAATCCACTTCAGAAGAAATGGCCATATCCCACATGTCAGATAAGGAATCTGGGCTGTCTTCACATCCAGGAGTGCATAGGTGACTAAAATTTCAAGTATATGTATTTTTCAGCTCATGCTGATAAACTTTTTGGATACACCAATGATGCACATTTGGACCAAGGAGAAAAAATCATATAAGAAACTGTATTTAGTTTTCTGCCTTTGAATTTGGATTAAAATAAAGAAAAAAACAACAGATGAGCATGCCTTAGATGACCAGGTTGAGATATAAATTTATTTTGTTTTCAAATATTGGAGTTTTATGTAAATAACTTTAATATAGAAACTGCTTGTCCAAGCTGGCTACTCTAAACAGTTGCATATTCAGGGCATACTTCTATAAAAAAACAGACATGCAGCATCTGTATGAGTGGGGAAGAATTCTGGTTATTCATCACTAACAGCCAGGACTGGAAATTTTAACCATATGTGTCTTCACTCACCAGTAGTACAACATCTTCAGCAAACAGAGAGGGTAAGAATTCTTCTGGGCAAGCCATTAAGGGTCAGCTCTTCAGCTTTACTTCAAGGTATTAAATCCTGTCACTGAAAAATCAGGTTGTGTTTTCCCTGTCCCCCTACCTTAATACTCCCAGAACACAACAGCCAAGAATTTGTTTTCTTAGACTAGTCAAAGGATCTCGCGCCCTGATGACTTTGAAAAAATAGTCTTACAGGGGCAAATACAACAGATGCTATCTTCATATCCTTGGGTAGGGAGAAGCCACTGCAACATGTATGGACTGGGAAAGGAGATGCAAAGCATTTTCCACCAGTCCAAGTGTTCTTTGTTTTGCATCTTGAAGAATCAGGAACCTCATTTGAGGGATAAAGCATGGGTTTTTAACCCAGTGTTGTTCTCAGGTAGAGAAAGTTACAACACTGTCAGCCACAGAACACCAGGCAGGGAGAGGGTTGTGGAGGAGTCTATGAGTGGCAGCGTGGCTCTGTGACCCGTCTTCCTTCTTGCTCGAGAGATCTAGGACCATCCTCTGTACCTCAGAGCTGCATCTCCTTGTAGCTGGGAAAGGGCCTCGTAAAGTCAGGGAGATAAAATTTGTCACTGCCACAGTAATGACAGAGGAAGCAGTTGAGCTGTGAAGCATGGTGGAGCTGGCTCCCATGCTGATAATGGCAAGGGAGAAAGCAGCTCTGGAAGTAGCACAGGTGGGAATTGTTTTCCCTGTAGGAGGCTTGGGCACTGGTCTGCTTCCCCAGGTGAGATATCTGGGCACGAGTTTCTCTTTTCTCTGACAAACTCTCTAAACTCCTCTCAGACCAAAGGACTCTTATGTTTTGTCACTTGAAACAAATGCTTGATGTCAGATGAAACTCAAGCACTCCACATTTCTGTCATCTTCCAATTAGGCAGCAGATTATTAGCTTGGCAGACATCAAAAGACAAGCAAGAGTTGATAACTGAAGAATTGTAAAAGCTCTTCTAAAAGAGCTGCTTTTCTGAAAGATTCACATAAAATCTAAACTATGAAATCCTAACACATTTTTGCTGATGTTCTACTGAGCACTGAGATGGAGAAGTCCTACATGGTCAATTCAACAACCTCTATAGCTTCTTAGAAATAGATAAAGGAGAAGGAATGTGACCATGTGAGCATCACACACCTTTTCAATGAGAACTTAGAACTAATTTGACATCTCAGCAGCACAGTGTGTCTCTGAGTATCTGCTGCATAAACACAGATTTACTTGCAGCTCTCTGGGATAAAGATATGTCTGAACCTCAGTAAGTGAATATGAGGAAATGCATACACTGAATTAAATAAAGAATTTTTCAGGACCTGATTTATGACTGTTCAATGAAATCAGAATGCTATTGAACATCTAATTTTGTGCTGATTAGCTCTAGATGGAAAGTATAAACAATAGCCTTTTTCATTTGAAAATGACAGCTTAAACTGGGCTTTTTTTTTACAAGAAAATGTTTGGTTTTGAAGAGTTTTTCAACACAATATTTTTCACATTTTTGAAGCAATGCCATTTCACTCCATTTTCTCACTCAAAGTGACTTTCTGCTCAGTATTTTTTGAAATCTCAAGTTAGGCACACAGCTCTGCTATTGGCAAAGCAGTTCTGAAATGACATTTTTGCAGCTTACAGACTTCAAGTTGCCAAAATCAATTATTATCAATAGCATTGCAACCATGGTTGTGTTATTTCAGTAAGCCTTTATCTTCACTATCACTAATACTTCCTGTCTGTTTATTAGTTTGTCTCTGGTGCTATTGCACAGGGCATGAAAGTTAATACTTAGTGCCACAGGATAGATTTGTCATGTTAACAGCAGGCCACAATGAAATATATTAGAACTACTTATATGTAAAACTATTTATAGGTAAAAACAGTGATCTTTTTGTCACTAAGTTAATCTTCATTGTCAAGTACTAGCATTTTTGGTGAAAAAAATTCATATTCACTCAGTTGTTTGTAAAGAAGAAAACTGTTGAAAATAGTGCATGAGTATCCACTAACCTTTGAAATGATCCATTAATTTATGAAAGGAGTAACATTTTATCTCTAATCAGCCAAATGTAAAGGGAGATAGTATAACACTGTTCAAGTAAGAAATTTATTTGTATGAGGAAATCAGTTTATATCTAAAATGAAGAATAACCATAAAGGTGGTGAGATGTCCAAAACTGGCAGGGCTAGATTAGGATCACAGTCCACTACTGCAGGTCGGGAAGCAAGTAGTAAGTATTTAATGTGTTGTAACAGGATTGCTTGAAATTACCTGCTTAAACACTAAGAATTGACAAAGAAAGATTTCAAAATGTGAAGTGTTGTCCGTCTCGTTTTGATTTTGGTGTTTGAAACAAGAATTCTGACTATACGTTTCAGCTGGGGGCAAGTATATTGCCAAAAACTTTCAATATCAGTGATGTTGGCTCTTGTACTGTTCTCTGTAGTATGTAAGAAAGAAGAAAGTGCATGATTACAGAAAAAGTTTTGACAAGTCCTTCCCAAAACATGGCAGGAAGGTGTGCAGGCTAGCCCTGTATTCATAGCAAATGTAAAATATGGACAGGCGTTTGGAAACATGAGAGGCTGAAGACACGATTTGGTTTAACTTTCCTGAATGAGGTGTAAAGACCTGTTCCGCCAAGGCGTGACTCTGAATTCTTTCCAGTGTCAAAATGCTTCTGGTTCACAGTGGTAATGAGAGATGCAAGCAGTGCTATTGTTAGTGAGCCTGCGTGTGAAGATTAATCTCTTTATCCTTTCTGCTACCATCAGTTCAGATGCTTTTGTTCTGTTAAGCACAACTCCTTGGAGCTTTCATGTGGAATTGCTGAGTTATGAATGGGTGCATCATGCTGGGACACACAGTCC